AGGCATATGGGACATTCCTGAAAAAGATGATGCATGTGATATCCCAAAAATTTTAGAAAATAAAATGATTATTCCATATTTATACTTTTTATTGTGATGAACATTTCATGTAATATAGTAAAAAGTTATGTTAATAATACTATAATTAATCGGATAATTACCATGTGAAAATATAGAGGGTATAAGGTGGCTACCTCATACATAACATCTTGCCACACTAAATACTTAAGTGACAAATGGCATATTGGGTTTAAGGTGGCAAAGTAATGATNTTGATTATAGATTCAAGATTCTACCAATTGACTTTGCATTGGATATTTACATTGTATTGGATATCCCTTGATATGATCATTGATTATACACCAAATTGGTGTAATTGATTAAAGAGCTCATATATTGTTATTCTAAATTTGTGCACACATGTAGAATTGAGCATCTATAATTGGGCACATTGTTTTCCTCACTCTATTTCAAAAATGGAAATAAAATGGTATGGCTTACTCGCTGAATAAGTGTATTCACATTATATATTTATCAATTTTTTTGTAGATGGTCATTACTGAATATGTTGACCTTACTTCGTACGAATGGGTTACCTCGTAAGACGGCCAGTATTGCATGTATGTTAAGGAAGTCAACACATGGATAACATATCCAGAATTTCCAGGGTTCCATCGTTTCGTGGGCTCCCACTATTACATGGACTACTTCGAGGAGGCTATTATGATGTACCTATTTATAGTTAGTTTTCCTGGGGAATAAACATGTCTATGTAATCTTTATGTAATATAATGATACAAATAGTTTAGTTATGTAACGCAACTTTTGTAATGTAACTTTTGCCTAGTCGCTAACATGTTTTGTTGTAACAAAGTATATAATAAAGTTTTTTTTTAACTACCTTATAATTGGTGTTACATATATATACACCTTTCAAAGGTCAATGTTTAAGAAAACAATAAAATAAATATATATATTGATATTGAAATCCCTACACTAGAACTGCCAAAAAGTTTTCTCTCAAATCACAAAATTTCAAAATTTCCGAAATTTCTATACATAAATTCTAGGTAAGAGACAAGACTAGGAGATTACAATTATGGAAGATTTGGGGGATTACAATTATGGTATCAGAGCCGAAGGTTTTAAATTCGATCTTTTGACGTGACATACATGCAAAATTCCATCTTCCGGCATCCATTCACAAGGTAAGTTATATATATATATTCTTCTTTCTAAGCCATACATAGCTACAACCAAATAAGGGATTTTCCAGACGAAACAGAAGGACTAGTTTTAGGCACTGGAAGTTGAAGGAAAATCTACCTTTAGATAAGTTCGACCCTAAATAAAACTATCTGATAGTTGATTTTTCAATTTTTGAAAAACTTTTATAAATTATTAATGGATATTGTTATACAATAGACCAGGAAATGTCTCAAAACAGTCAAGGTGATAGTAACACTGCATCAATTGAGCATTTGACTCAATTGGTCCAATGTCAAGCTCGACAGATAAATTAACTAATCAACAATTACACTTCCAATGGAGAATCTTCCAGAACCAAGGAAGAAAATAATATTAGTAATCGTTTCCAGCGATTAAAACCTCCGGTGTTTGAGGATGCAAAGGATCCAGTTGAAGCGAAAAATTGGATTCGTACTATGGAACGTATGTTTACATATGCACATATTTCGGAATCCAAAAAAGTTATATGTTCGTCATTTATGTTAAGAGGAAATGCTAGACATTGGTGGGATACTTTAACCAGCATTGGAGAAGCTCAAGACATGACTTGGGAAGCCTTTTGCGAAAAGTTTGGAGCAAAATATTTCTCTTCTACAGCCAAACAACAAAGTTAAATGAATTTTTGTTTCTAAAACAAGAATCAATGACTGTATCTGAGTACATCAAGAAGTTTGAAGAATTATCACGTTTCGCAACTCATGTGACCACTACCAGCGAAATAAAAATTGATCGTTTCATTGGAGGGCTAAAACCTGAATTGGCACGAGATGTACAGATGTTAGGAGTTCAAGGCTTGGATTTTTCTCTAGAAATAGATAAAGCTTTAATGGCAGAACAAGCAGAGGCCAAAATAGCTCAAGTCCGAGAAGTGAAAACCTCGAACAATAGGCACTGGAATGATACCACTAAGAGTACCAGGATTGACAGAAATGGTCCTAAATTCCCAAACAAAAAGTCTCGAATGGAAGACAAATCCAAGAAAACAATGTCATCATCATACCTTCATTGTGGAAAATTCCATAGTGGGCCGTGTCAACTTAAACTTGGATTATGTTTTGGTTGTCGAAAAGAGGGCCACATAGTAAAGGATTGTCCAAACAACGAAAGGAAAAATCAACAGAAATCGAGTCCTCCAGCAGGTATAGTATTTGCAATGGTACAACCTGAAGTTGCTGAAGATGCGAAAGTTGTTACAGGTACGACGTATGTCTATGCGACACTTGCTCTTACCCTATTTGATTCAGGTGCCACTCATTCCTTCATATCCACGAATTTTTTTGCATAATCTAAATACAGAACCAACTTTAGTACCACATAATATAAACATTGTTACTCCTTGTGGACCAAATCGCCATTCAAAATTTATTTTGCCAAAGGCTAGGTTGTATATTGAGCATATGAAACTTCCAACAAATCTTATCCTACTTGATTTCCATGATTTTGATATTATATTAGGCATGGATTGGTTAACCACATATGAGGCTTTAATTGATTGTAAGTCCAAAACATTGAAGCTTTTAGGTAAAAACACCATATCATTTACAGTACATGAGAAAACATCTAGAATTATAATTTCGACAACTAAGGCTACCAAGCTTTTAACTCAAGGACATTGAGGGTATTAGGTAAGTCTTCATCAACTCAGTGCAGACAAAGCTATTACCCCATCAACAATAATCGCTGTCCAAGAATTTCAGGATGTATTTCCTGAGGACCTACTTGGGTTACCACCTGATCAAGAAATTGAGTTCGACATAGAATTACACACAGGTACTCATCCCATATCCAAAGCCCCATACAGAATGGCCCCTTCCGAACTTAAGGAATTGAAAAGCCAATTAGATGACTTGTTGAAGCGAGGATTCATCCAACCAAGTACATCTCCATGGGGTGCTCCAGTTCTTTTTGTTAAAAAGAAGGATGGATTCTTACGACTTTGTATTGATTATCGGGAACTTAATAAGATCACTATTAAAAACAAGTATCCGCTACCCCGTATTGATGATCTATTGGATCAGCTACAAGGTTTTGCGATTTTCTCGAAAATTGATTTACGATCTGGATACCATCAATTGAAGATTAAAAAGGAAGACGTTCCTAAATTCGCATTTCGTACTCGTTATGGGCATTTTGAATTTCGTGTAATGTCGTTTGGACTAACAAATGCACCGGTAGTATTTATGGATCTAATGAATCTAATCTTCAAGGATTATCTGGACAAATTTGTCATTGTATTTACTGATGCTATTTTGATTTACTCAAAAACTCTAGATGATCACGCAAACCATCTTTGCATAGTCCTACAGATTTTACGAGAAAAGAAACTTTTATGCTAAATTCTCAAAATGTGAATTTTGGTTGGAAAAAGTTGTGTTCTTAGGACACGTCATCACCAAAGAAGGAATCTCGGTAGATCCTAGTAAGATTGATGCAATTCTTAAGTGGGCGCAACAAACTACAGTTATCGAAGTACGTAGTTTTCTTGGGCTAGCTGGGTATTTCGACGATTTGTACACAACTTCTCAAAGATCGCTTCTACTTTGACTCAGCTCACACAGAAAAATATTCCATTTAGATGGACAGACGAGTGGGAAAGGAGTTTTGAAGAACTGAAATCACGACTTACTACTGCACCTATTTTGACTATTCCTGATGGAACAGGAGGATTTACGATTTATGGTGATGCCTCAAGAAATGGGTTAGGTTGTGTGCTGATGCAACATGATAAGGTAATTGCATATGCCTCTCAGCAACTGAAATCTTATGAACTAAACTACCCTATACATGATTTAGAATTGGCAGTCATTGTGTTTGCGCTTAAATTATGGCGCCACTATCTTTATGGGGAAAAATGTGAGATCTTCACAGACCATAAAAGCTTAAAGTATTTTTTTACTCAAAAAGAGTTGAATATGAGGTAAAGAAGATGGTTGGAATTAATCAAAGATTATGATTGTACCATTAGCTACCATCCAAGAAAAGCAAATGTAGTTGCTGACGCACTAAGTAGAAAACGTTCCAACCAAGAGACTTTTGACCAATCAAATAAAGATCGAGGAAGCCCCCGATTGGAAGAAAAGGGATCTAAAGAATTAACCCTAACTGCTCTTACTGTACAATTAACCCTAATGGAGAAAATCAAAGAAGGTCAAAAGAGAGATTCATTTGCTACTAAGATTCGACAAAAATTAACAAGTGAAAAACCAACAGTTTACCATATCTCAACTCATGGAATTCTTATATATAAACATCAAATGTACATACCTGATATAAACGGATTATGGGACGATATTTTATATGAAGCACATACGACTCCTTATACTGCTCACCTTGGGACCACCAAATTATATCATGACGTTAAAGCATTATATTGGTGGCCGGATATGAAACGTCAAATTGTCGAATTCGTAGCCAAATTCTTGACCTATCAACAAGTAAAAATAGAACATCAAAGACCAGAGGGATTACTACAACCTTTACTAATTCCAAAATGGAAATGGGAGCAAAATACAATGGATTTTGTGCGTAGTCTGCCCAAGGTGACAAAGGGTCTTGACGCTATTTGAGTAATAGTAGATCAACTAACTAAGTTTGCACACTTTTTACCCGTTAAAATGACCTTCAAAGTGGAACAGTTTGTCGCCTTGTATATACAAGAAATAGTACGACTCCATGGGGTACCCGTTACGATTACATCAGATCGTGATCCACGATTTTTGTCACGATTATGGCAAGAGATACAAAACTGTTTAGGTACAAAGCTTCAATTTAGTACAACTTTTCATCCGCAAACGGATGGATTAACAGAACGAACTATTCAAACTTTGGAGGACATTCTTCGTGCTTGTGTTTTAGAGTTTCAGCACAGTTGGGATTATTATCTACCTTCACTTGAATTCTCTTATAATAACAGTTATCACATGTCAATTCAAATACCTCCTTTTGAAGCATTATATGGTCGGAAATGTCGATCCCCTTTACATAGGAATGAAGTAGGTGAAAATAAAATCATAAACGCGGTAATGGTTCAGGATATGAAAAAAACAGTTGAAAAGATTAAGAGACAATTAAAGGCGGCTCAGGATCGACAACGCAGTTATGCAGATAAGCGACGACAACCACTGGAGTTCGAGATAGGAGATAGCTTTTATTAAAATATCTCCTGTCAAGGGTTTGCTAAGATTTGGGAAAAAAAAGGGAAATTGACACCAAGATATATTGGACCATTCAAAATCCTTGAATGCATTGGTAAAGTCACCTACCGAGTAAAGCTACTTGAACAGATGAAAAAAAATACATGATGTATTTCATGTGTCAACTCTTCGAAATTATATTCCAAATCCCTTTCATAGACTAACAGAGGCACCAACTGATATTCATCCTGATTTGACCTAGGGAGAAAAATAGGTTAATGAGGGATACTAAGAAGCTTCGCAAGAAAAAATACCCTTAGTTCGTGTCTTGTGGCAAAGTAAGGTCATTGAAGAAGAAACTTGGGAAAGAGAGGACGAAATGAAAGCTCAATACCCCGAACTCTTTGATTAAGGTAATTTTGACTAGAGTAATTTCGAGAGCGAAATTCTTTTAACGGGGGAAATTGTAATATCCCAAAAATTTTAGAAAAAATAACAATTATTCCATATTTATACTTTTTATTGT